TTGTCAATCTGCAGCGTCGAGTTCTGGCCGGAGCGCGTCAGGCGGACAATGTGGTAGCGGCCGTCGTTCACCGGAATGCCCAGCTCGCCAATGTCAATGTCCTCCGTGCCGAGATTGTACACCGCCAGGACGTGGCCGTCCAGCAGCTCCAGCTGCAGGTAGTCGGCCGTCGTGCCCGAGTCGACGCGCACCAGGGCGCCGTTCTTCGCCGAGGTGAGAAAACCGAGCGCGAGGAGGTCGTTGCGCGTGTCCGGTCGATTCGCCTCGTCAAAGGTGAAGCTGATCAGCCCTGGGCTGGGGCCAAACTGGTAGGCGGTGCTCTCTGGTAGATGGTGTAAGCAAAATAATCAGAAAGAGAGAATTAGTATGGCTCGCTTAAATCGGGTGCCCAACAACTAAAGATTACCATAACTAGTGAGCATACCGTCAGCACAGGTCGGTCCCTGGTAGCTGGTCAGATCACAGTCGCACTGGTAGCTGTTCCACAGCTGCACGCAGATGCCCCGGTTGGCGCAGGCGGTGCTGCTGCACCGGGTCACCGGCGCCGAGCAGCCCGCCTCCACCAGAGTGCTCGGAATGAGCGGCACTTCGGCGCTTGAACTGCTGCCACCGCCACTGTTCCCACCACCACCACCACCACCACCACCACCGTTGTTGTTGACATTCTCGCCGACCAGATTAAAGGTGGCGCCGTTGAAGTCGAGCGAGGCGATGCAGCCCTCAAAGCCGTGCTTCGCCTTGACCGCCTTCGGCAGCGTCGACCACATGCTCTCGCGGACGCCGCCAAAGTAGAGGAGGCCGTTCAGGTCGAGGTGCTGGTTTCGGTCGGTGGAAGAAGAAGGTGAAGAGGTTGAAGCAGTTGTAGTGCTCGCCAGCTGCTCGTCAATGAGCATCGTATGGCGGTGCAGTGACGGCCGACCTAGCGTCACCGAGTGCCAGCGGTTGTCGGCCAGCGAGCCGGCCCGACTGGCCGACTGCAGCCGCCGCGGGCCGTCGCCCAGGTCAAAGATGTAGTGGAGGTGGCCGTTGAGCAGCTCCACGGCGATAAAGTCCTGGTGAGAGTGGTGGGGATGCGGTGAGTGGCCTCCTCCTCCTTTGCCATCCCCTCCACCACCACCGTTAAAGAAGAGCAGTCCATTCGCCTCGCGAGTCTTAAACATAAAGTGCAAATCGAGGCTGGAGTAGGCCTTCAGCTGCGGCAGGCCGACGTAGGTGTACTTCGACTTGAAGGTGACCGGGTGGACCAGGGCGCGCTCCTTCTTGCCTAGCTTGGCCGTCATGCGGACCTGGGCGCCACCACCGCTAGGGCCACTACCACTACCACCACCGCCACCAGACAGCTGTCCGTCCCTCGTTCGCTCAAAGTACCAGACGCCGTTGAAGACAAAGTTCTGCATGTAGCCCTCAAAGCCGGGGTGGTGTTTGGCGTCTGTTGTGGTGGTAGAATAGTTTTGGTGAGTTTAGCACATCAAAACAATAAAGTAAAAATCGCTTACGCGAGACCGTCTTGTGTGAGCTCCTGATCAGAGCGCCCAGGTGAATGGCGCCCACTTTCAAAGTGTACTGCTGCCCAGTCAGCTCGACGACCGCCTTCCTAGTCGGCTGCCCAGATGCCCTCTCCTCAGTACCATCAATCACCTCCACCTCCAGGTGCTGGCCTCGTCGCTCCAGGTGGACGGTGTGCCACTTGTCGTCGTTCAGTGGTCGACTACTCTCACCACTACCGCCGACAATGGTCTTCTTCTCGCCCTCGCCATAATTCAGCTCCAGTCGCAGGTTCCCTCCCTCAAGGGCCAGCGTCAGGTACTGGCTGGGCAGGTAGTGCGAGGTGGTCAGCAGCAGGCCGCTGGCCTTCTTCGTGCGAAAGCGCAGGTACAGCGACTCGGCCTGAGTGTGGTGCAGCGCCTCCGGTACGGTGATCGTCAGGTACTGGTCGCCGTTGAAGCTGAGCGTGGCCGCGTCT